CTGTGTGGGATCTACTGCTCATGAGGAAGAGCTCTGGCACTGTGTGGGATCTACTGCTCATGAGGAAGAGCTCTGTCCTTGTGTGGGAGAGATTATGAGACACTGGGAGACAGAGAGAAATAGTGGGAGACACTATGAGACAGTGGGAGACACAGAGGGACCAGTGCTTCCGTCCTGCTGCTCCAAGCCAGTCAGCACTTTCAAATTCAGTTTGTTTATACTGGTGCCTGATTTTAGTTTACAGAAGACACATCAGGACAGGCGCTGGATACAATTTAGCTTGTTCTAGAATCTAAGAGCAATCTTGATCTAGAATGCTGTGGCTGGGTTTTCCAGCAGTCAGGTGGGACAGCATGAGGGCTGGGCATTTCCTCCATCCTGAAGGCTTGCTGGAAGTGTTCAGCTAACGGAACAAGTAATAGGTTTATTCCATGCTGAAAAAAAGAAGAAAGAAAACACGTTTCGGCCGAGGAGCCTTCTTCAGGTGTGAGGCTCCACAGCCGAAACCTCGTGTTTTCAGCATGGAATAAACCTGTTACTTGTTCCTTTGCAGCCTGCGAGTTCAGCTAACGACCTTTTCTTCACGTTCCCACAGAAGAAAACCTGGACATTCATCTCAGGTGCCTCCGCTATGCTGATGCTGTTTAATATGGTAAACAGGTGCAGCTGCGTGTCTTTTCCCGATCACACTCCGCATCCAGACGGTCGCCCTCTGCGGTGCACCGCTGCCGCCACCGTGCTCTCCTGGGAGAATTCTCTCTTAGTTCTCTAAAGACGTAACACACACCTGGCAGCGAGGCGTGGTCATGAAGCGAAGTGTACCGTCGGTGTTCGCGTGTTGCCAGTGTCACAGGAAGGGAAGATTTTGTTTGCGCGTGTTGGGTTTGACTGGAGCGGATAGAATCGGGGGCTGGAGGTAAAGAAAGCCGATGTCGTGGAACAAGATCACGCGAACCATTTCCCCCGTGGAGTGGGCTCAAGCGCTCGTGTTCGTGAAACAGCTCCCATTGAGCCAAGTGAAAGGGTGTTTGGAGTACGTGTTCCACACTGGAGAGCACCTCCAAAAAGCGCCACTGGAGCGACATACATTGAGAGTTCAACAGTTACTGCACGGAATGTATTTGAGTTTGTAACATTAGAGGATGCACTTTCAATATTAAAATCCAGAGGTAATATTAACAGGACGTTCCGTCTGCGACAGGTATGTCATAGCACACAGTGAAAATGCAGCCGTCGGTCCACCGTCAGAAAGCCGCCTGTGTCTGCGAGAGCTGGCGGTAACCCGGACCCACACCCCTACAGCGGCGGCACATCTGGAAACAGCTGGGCTGTGGCGAGCCTCGCGATCAGCCCTTTCAGAACACAGCGAGTCTGACACCTTGTCAGGAACGGGAGCGGCAACTCTCAGACCCGTAAACCCGCGAGTTTCACCGGGCAGAGCGGTGATTCTACTTTTGAAGATGAAAACAGAAGTCCCCGGCGGAATCGTCGCCCTGAAAGACACCGAAATGCGTCTGCTTGCGCTCCTTGAGCCTCCGCGCACACCCGTGAACCGGAGAGCGGCTGCAAGTCACGCGTCGCGAAGTGTCGGTATGCGTTCGTCGCGTCCCGTGAAGCTTGACTCAATCTTTTCTTGCAAAACTAACGCACCCTGGAGAGCACAGTGGTGTAAAAAGACACTCGATATTGTGACAAACTACATGCGCGACTTTCACTTCACTGGAAAAACGTCTCTTGGATTCATACATTTGACTCTTATTGTGTTAAGCATGAATGGTTTGATACAAATAGTTTTGTGCTACAAAAAGTAAAAAAAGTCTCGAGTCATGCAGCCCACCCCGGTCACCGCGCGAGGCGGGGTCTGTGATCTTTACTCCCACTGCCGACGTGTTCCGAGCGCGAGGCCACGGCGCGAGGCGCGAGCGCGGGTGTCGGCACTCACCTGACGGGCATCTCCAGCTGCTCCCGCGCGCCCCGCCGGCAGCCGCGAGCCGGGGAGAGCGGAGGCACGCGGCGCCGGGGCCGGTCGACGCTCCCGCTGCACGAGGCTGGACGAGCAGGGAGCTCGGCGGTGCATAGGGCTCGGCGCGGGCGCTCCAGAGAGAGGGGGCACGCCACGCACACTGGGAACACGCCGGGAAAAGAGATTCCACTGAAAAAACCTCGACACCAGCTAAATCTCCCTCAGCACGGCTTCTTTCTTTTCATTTCTTCTGGGAAAAGACCGCGCTGCTTGTGTTTTCTCCTTTCCTCCTCCTCTACAGCTGCTGGTAAATATAAAAGGCATGCTTGTGCAGACCCTGCCTGTAACTCTCTCTCCCTCACTCGCTCTTTCTCCTCCCCCTCCTCCTGCCTCTCGCTCCCTCTTTTTCACTGTCAAAGCTGCCTTTCAAATGCTGATTAGCACCCGGAGTAACGGGCGAGAGGGGAGCAGCCCTGAGGATGGGAAGATTCCATCACATCGCCCCCATCCGTATTCTGAGCCTGTTCCCCTCTTCCCCACACACACACACACACACACACGCGCGCGCGGACACGCACCCCCCCGCAGGCCCGGCCCCCTCCACTCGCCCTCAAACACAACTCGGAATATTGATACATCCCTCCCTCCCTCTCCGGATAGCTCTGCTCACTCTCTCCTCGGAATACAGATCGGCGCTCTGGCTGCCCTGAGAGTGGCTGATCCCCGGGACAGGCCAGGGATAGGTCAGGGCCCCCACCGCACATCGGGGCTCCTGCTCGCACCCCACCCTCCCAGCGGGGTGAAGCACAGCAGAACGAGACAGCGGAGCTGAAGGTCACCTCTCAGACCTGCCAGCAGGCTCCCCCATTAGAGGGGCGATCGCTCAGGGGTCCCCCAGCTCGGAGCTCCTCTGCGTCTGGGTCTCATGTCTTCCAGGGGCGGAGCTCTCAGATCCGCGGCACGCAGAGGCTTTGGGAGTCACCCACGGGATTTTTAGAACTGTTTTCGCTCTGAAACCTTCCATCAGCTTTACTTCCCCTGTACAGTGTGTGCAGAACAAGGAGCTGGGCACGCCCTCCTGCCACAGCCTGGCATCTTCAGACGGGCTGCTCACAGGGTCCCGGCAGCCCCCAGAACGAGGGGGCTCTGTGCAGCAGCAGCCCCTGGCCAGTCGTCAGCGCTCGGGCTCAGACAGGCCCTGCTGTCCTGATAGCTTTCCACCCTGATCTTCAACCCCACAGCCAGAACGAAAAGCAAAGACCCTCGCTGTGCTTGGCTCTGGCATCATGTCTCTGGGCACACCCAGCTCGCCTGCACTCTCCTACTAGTGCCGCCCCCTAGTGCCCAAGACAGCTCCCTGCTCCGTGCGCACTGTGGCCGCCCCTTCCCTCTCAATACGCCTGGCAGCAGCTGTATCCTGGCCCCTTGCCTGCGAGCGCCTGCAAATTAATTACTTTAATTCTCTCCGTGCCCATGTAATCAGCTCGCAGAGCTGCCTCTGCCCACTGCAAACAGCCTCCAAGCGGCCAATTAATTCAAACTTAGAATAACATGTAACTCCACCCCCCTGCCCCCCACACACAGGCCTAATCTCCCTGCCAAGCTGCGTTAGACTGCGAGAGATCCCTGCTGCCCCAGCCGAGCTCAAGAGCAGAGCATGGCAATGCTGCATGAGGGGGATACGAATTCCTCCCTCCCCCACCCTGCAAGAGGGGGGCAACACAATGGCCGAGCACACGGCCATTGATTTCTTTCATCTTTGCCTTCCAAGAGAATTCTGTACCTGGAGAGAAGGTACCAGCCAGGGCTCCTTTCCATGGGCATCACAGTCAACGCAGTGATTTACAGTTGCACAGGAATGCAAGAGATTGACAACAGATGGACTTACTGTACTTGAGACAGGACAGGACTGTGCTACAATCCTACATCCCTGCTGCTGACCTGCTGTGGGAGCCCCTGATGCCCCCTGCCCTGGATGAGCTTGTGCCACACCAGGCCTGACTGGGTGAGGAGAAGCCAAGCTCCGGTTCACACTGATCACACTGAAAACCTTGAAACACACAGATGCCTCAGGGTTAGCTATTAGTGCCGAAGACAATGGCTTGAAGTAGAAGACTGCTGTGAAACTGAGAAAGAAGCATAAAGAGTAGAACAATACAAAATGTACAGGTTGTTGGCGCAGCACTGTATGTACAGCAACGCCAATACCTTTCGCCAGTATCAAAGGGAAGCAGAGCTGATGATTGTTCATCTGAGGTCTT